TCGGGAAACCATCAAGTGTTTTGTGGGACACACTCAAGCTTATATATTTTCTCAACCACACTGATAATGATTTTTTTTTGTAAACGCACTTAAAACGGTGAAATAGTTATAAATTACAAAAAAAATAATTCTATTGCGTAATAACCGTTACCAAAGTGTTACTCGGTTCATAAAACTTCTTCACCTGTCGACTGCCAGGCGAAGAATTACAAGCTAACGAAAGAACTTCGTAGTATTGACGACTAAATCTTCCTACTGCCACACCGTTTGTGTTACAGAAAGAAAAAAAAGAAGCTTCTAACTTTGAAAACAGCCAAAATCTGCAAACAACGCGTACACATTCGTCGGGTTCGAAATTCGAACACTTTCATGACAATGTTTTGGTGAGCGTCTTTGAAAGAAGTACCACTGTGACGCATCGACCAATCAACGACGAGCATAAGATCGCGTGGTGGCAGAGATATGTTCTTGGCATAGAACTCTGCCTGGGAGATTGGACACAACGGTGTCATTGTTTACAAACAAGCGTCTACCCATGAGCCCTTGCGTTTTAGCGTGTGTTGTTATCGTCGCTTAGGACTCAATTCCCGCGCGTGCGTAGGTGACGACCCTCCCGTTTTAACTTGGTCGTTATGTTGATATGTTCGAATATGTTCAGATCCGATAAGAAGATGGTGTTTTCGTGACTTCACATGTAGGGCGACCTCAGCGTCAGTTGAAGCTCGTTTAGTCGGCCACAAGAAAAAAATTCAAATCGCGCGATTCGAACGAACATAAATAATTGGTATCGATTAGTAAATAATTAATGCCTTTGCCTCGCAGGCTGTTGGAATCGGATCGAATGAAGTGATATATGTAAACTATGTACAAACTATGTGAAACTTAAATTATGTAGGCCACGGATGAAAGGATAACTCCAGATATATTCAGAATAAATTATTGGGAATTACTGACCTCGAACCTGACTTGTGTACTAGGGTAAATTACGAAATCATAAACATATTCGAGCTCATACTTTTGGCAATTCTAGGCATATTAAAAGCTTTTAATGTTGGCGTTGTCATATCAGACCTTTCGCATTCATCTCGTTTTTCACAATCTAATTGGATTTACAATTTAGACAATACAATGTTATTTAAAAAAAAGCATGTAGTACATGTGTGTCAACGGACGTCAGAGTCGTCAAGCGGCGCGTGTTGGAATTTCATGTACATAACTAATGAATTTTACGTAATTTCGCATGGGTCACATGTTAGACGCGGCGTGATGACTGCGGTGGAGCTGATTTGAACATTAAATTGTGCTCTTCATTCGCCGCTTGTCATAGTTCCGACACCAGGTTAAAATAAGACAAATGAATACGTGGGGGTAGTTTACACATGTACACTAATTACGACACAAATAGTTTCATAAACTTGTTTTATTTGTTTAGATCGTAGAAGCTGCTAACTTCTGTTGTCATACCCCTGTACCCCGTAACACACTAATGTAAAAATATATAGGCAAACATGAGTTATAACAACTCATATATCTTGTAAATATGTAGGATTGTCAATCCGCTTTTAAAAAGAGAGAGACCAATATATGTCAGTGACCCGAGAGATCGCGCTTGTTCTACACAAGAGCCCCAATTCATGCCATGTTAGGTATACACGCCAGGATTCTCGCAAAGTCATTCATAAACTCCCCCACACAGATGGGGTGTTTCCACCAACATGCTTCAGGCGTGTGTAAGTGTGAAGCGGATTACAGATAACAAAACGCTCTTTACGTGGATAGTGATGTTTGAGGCGATATATTTCACTCATACTAGTACGAGTACCACGTTTTCGGGTATGCGAGATTGCAAAATCTCAGTTCTGTTTTTTGTTTGTTTTTTTCTTTGTCGTATTAGGGAGAATTGTTATCCTGGCATTCACGGTCGGTGTTCATATCACAACTATTACGCGTATACATGCGCCAGATATGTAATCCCTGTATTCGTAGTAAACTTTTGTCTATGCTATTGTAACAAATAAGACACCCACATAAATAGACATGCTTCAGTTTTTAGTACATTTTAGATTACTTTCAATGTTGCCAAAACCAACTTTAAATTTTGGCACATGTGTTTACTCTTCAGTTTAAACACCTGGACTCCATCACTGGGATCATAACCTATAAAACCAGTGTAGAACGCCCTCAAGTGATGAGAATTAAAATCGTTTATGTTCAACTTTCTGATCTGGACAGCCATACATAAACAATAGCTGTTTCCCGCTTTTCGTCTTCAAAGTTTATGGTTACAATAACTGTCTCAGAAATCGGGTCCAGCCATTGTCACGAACGCACCGGAATTCGACTACCACGCCGCGGTTGTGAAGTGTTCGCTGGGGGAGAAACTTTAGTTCTTTGACTTTTTCCGATATCTTCTGGCTTCTGATTTCTCGGATGTACACGTGCTTTCGTAAACTCTATCGTATCTGATATCTCGGAGGTATTGTCAGTTAAAAAAGTAGAATATTTTGGAGCTGCAGCAGATGTTTTATCGATGGTATTGTCCCCTACATTTTCGTTTTTTCGTTTTGTATCATTGTTATTTGAAAGCTTTGGGCTATCTTTTTGGTTGCCCCCACCACTCTCCGTTTTGCGGTGGTGTATTTTTGGTTTGGGTCGCAACTCACCGTTCCCAGCATCCTTCGCGTCAAGCTTCAATTTGTCGGGGTCACTATTACCACCCGCTGTCGGGCGCGTCCGCGTTTTCGGATCTGCCCGCGAGATGATGACGGTATCCGACGTCTTGGGTCGTAACATCTCAAGTTCAGATGATGTAGGGCGTGACGGATCCGTTTCAATAGGACTACGACCCACGTCATCGGTACTATTCCTTAAAAGTACCAGTTCCTTCTCCACCCGACGCTTCTCCGATTTTTTCTCCAATAGCCAAGTTTGAAGCTGATTAATCTTGTCCTGCACATCCCCAACAAATCTAAGGAAAGAACAACACACACTGTTAAGTAAAGGGACATACACTGCAATGCTGGATCTTATTAAATTAACAATGTGTTGACATCGTGTACACTGGAAAAGGCATTCAAAGAAACAGAGAACAAAATTTATTTTGTTTTTCTTTATACTTTTTTTTATTTAAAAAAATTAACAGCATTTGGTGATACCAATCTGAACTATTCGAATGTATGAGGGCGCCCGGCTCCCAAATACGATTGTGATCTGCGTAACGCCATGGAACTGGGTCAGTGACATTGAAAGCGATAACATTCCCTTAAATAGTAATTCGGACACGAAGGAGTGAGAGTTGTGAATGTTTCCACCCTGTGTGAAGCACTGCATCATGGGAAATAACATTGCCGCCCAGCGAAAGTTCGAAATCCACGTGATCGACACTAAAACACCTTTGCGATCAGAACTACTGAAATTAACAAAGGCACATGCCTGCATGCATTTGACAGATTTAAACAAACACGCTAAATGGAATGTTATCAATTGTCAGGAAATAGGTATGTTGATTCAATGGAAATGTAGATATGCAGTGCACTGAGTGGAGACAGATTCTTATGTTGCCATCGAGACTAAAATAAACACCATTACTTGTAAACGTATTGATCATGTCAACACAAACGTCTCTGATGCGCCGCCGTCGCCATATTTGCAGCTCCATCATCACTGATCGACCCCGGGGTTCTTATACACAATAAAACATACCCGGCAATAAAGACGATGTATTGCTTTTAGGTGTGAATACATAGTGCCTTATAATATGTATTTCGGTAAAATAAACAGTTCATATCCAATCACTCACGCAAACGGTACGTAAAATGGAGGGGCAGTGACGTATGGTTATCTTCCCCATATTACCGATATAATTACATGTCTTCTATCATAAACTGTTTAGCTTATCGAATTTCGGTTTCTTTTCATACGTTATCAAGAAATGTCCAAGGACTATAATGAGAAAACTCTAAATCGATTCAACCACAAATAGGTTTACGTCACAGTATGTTGTACCTCATTTGCGATTCAATCAATATTCAAGCAGCCGTATTAGATTGCATTCATTAGAATAGCGAATGAAGCACTACATCATATTAGCGATTTTATTTAAGAGGGTTGATAAGAAATAACAGTAACCATGACACAGCTCCCAATGCCAACTAATTTCATCCTGCGCAGCTCCTCGGGCGGAAATTCGATTTGGGGGTTTGTCGCATCCCTGTACTAAAACGCCATTGTTGTGTATCCTAAAAAAAACTAATCCACTGTCAATTGTGTGTTTTTATTTTCTTGCTTTGAAGAGACAATAAGCGAGAGGAACTCGTTAGAATAGTCGACCTCAAAATCAATATACTGCTTGAGTTGCTTTTTCTGCCTGATTACATCCACTGTGTGAAAATGTGCTACACGAAAAACGTAACATGAGCCTTTGAGTCTGTTCCATTGTGAAGTTGTCTCCATAGTCGCGATAAGTCCTCTCTACTTTCTCTTAGATTAAATGCGTTTTCAGGGTCATCTTGATGCAGACTGGCACAGGAAAGTACGCTATATAGAAGCAGACGACACAGGTCGTAATTTACACTATTTTTTTTATCTTGACGGATAAATGTAATCCCAAGGGATTATGTACAGGCTGTATATAGATTAACGTTATTAACATTTTTTTCAACGCCACCAAATCCATTGGGGTCACGGCCTTGATTCCAACTAGTGAACTCGTAACTAACGAGGTGATTTATGGCAATATGTAAATTTAATAATAAAAATAATTTTGATTCCCGGCGATTACAATTGTAACAGTAGTCTAAACTATTTGTGATTTCATGCAATGGATCATGGGAGTAATAATGGTGGTTCTGATCACAACGTCGTTTTTTTCACGTTCGAAATGAAAATTCACCTAAGGCGACTAATCGACAGAACAAATGTTTTATAGCCGTAATTTTCTCCATAAAATTAATTAAACTCAAATTTAGGCAGTTCCATAACAACTATTCTTTTTGGACAAAACGTATATGATGAGTTTTGCAACATTAAACAGTGTGTTAATTTATAATCCTTAAAAGTAATAGTTATGCACAATGGAATTTATATATTGACAACTACCTCATACCGTCACCATGGGACATCCAAGCTGGTGTATTCCCCCCCCCCCCCCACAGCAAGATAGGTTAACCACAGCTGTCTTAATGAATTGGCTAGTGAGCGTTCAACGACTTCCGTGTTTATATGCCGTAACCCGGTTATGACATGGTACACGAGTTCAAAGCACCACGCCTAGTCTAGAATGGTATTTATAAAATGATCGTAATTGTTTGAGCACCCCTTCAATTCGCCGCGACAACACGTCGTACAAAACCGTCGTTCCTTGGGGCTTAACACGGTCAACGTAATTTATTAGTATTTCATGCAATTGAAAATACTTAGTTTTTTACTGCAGATACCTATAAAATGTCTCGAGCGATGTGTAACAGGCAACCCGCTTAAAGTAACTAGCGTCTAGCCGCGGTAAAACATTGTACGACCGATTTACCGTCAACACACGCGTTGACACAGATTGCATCTGCGTCGGAGTTAACTCTGTGCTGTTGACAAGCTTCTGTTGGAATGGTAGTCTAATATGTATTTCATTAATTACCAACAAAGCGTATTAAAGATGAAAAGAAGCCTACAGAGAACATTTTCCTGAGTTGTTATTTCCGAA